GCCTCAGGTCAGCGAGGACGAAAGATGGAAAATGTATAAGGAGGTACTTCAGCGTTATCTCCAGTTTGTTCGTGCTGCGAGAAAACGTTTACGCAAAGACGTGGACGCCAGCGGTGAACGCGATGGAGAGCAGAACGAAGACACGAAAGAGCAAGAGGATGATAACATCGATGATGACGATGAACTTATGGAAACGCAAACTTTAATTAGCAGCGACGGTAACATTAGTGCCACTAGTAGTAGTTTCGAGAAAAAACGCACTCAATCAGCGGAAATAATCCAAAAAATACTTAATAGTGTTCCGAAAAGTTATCGTAGTAAAGCACGCTTGCTAATGAAACATCTGCTCGATACTCCGTCATCTAAGATTGGCTGGAATAGACAAGGGCTCGTAACTATAGACGGCGACATTGTGGAGAGTTCGAATATCGCGGAACTTATAAACGATGCGGTACGCGAGAAAAAAACGGTAGAAGCAACCGGAAAAAATCAGTTTGCTCGATTACTACGTAACATAGGTACGTCACCCCGCGTCAAGATATTGTTCACGCTTACAATCATACTCGTCATTCCACCATCAAATGCAACTTGCTGTCGTTACGCAAGAAAATGCTCGTACTGCGTGTGAAAATATGAAACAACGATGGGATAACGATAAAGGAAAGAAAAAGAAGCGTGGGCGTAAACAAAAGACTAAATATCGCGTGGACGATCTCGTACGCGTCAGTAGAGCAAAAGTAACCTTCAAGAAAGGATACGAGGCGAAGTGGAGCGAGGAGATATTTCGAATTCATCGAGTTCTCGAATGGAGAAACCCCGCGTATATGAATTAAGCGATTTATCGGGTGAAGTAATAGACAGAATTTTTTACAAACAAGAATTAGTACCGGTTATTAAAGACTTACGCGACGAGGAATTTATCGTCGATCGTGTGATAAAAAGCAGAGGACGCGGTAACAATAAACAATTATTAGTTAGCTGGCAAGATTATCCTTCTAAATTTAACTCCTGGATACCCGCTTCGAATTTAACTATTCTTCGAAATGAGGGCGAATCAATTTCTTCTGATTCTTCCAAGCAATAGCAGTATGCGCTATTTTCCCAACAATAAAACCTCGTCGTTTATTACGGAATTACCTCAATCGCTGCACTTACACGGTGAATGGGAAGTCGCGTTGAGCAAAATTTAATTCCCTAATACCTTTTTTCATATAAGGCGCGAAGAAAATATACTCAGTTTCGTCGATATCGACCCTCAAGTTAAAGAGAAAAATAAAAAAATCGAGGTGTTTCAATCCGAAACTTCGAAGGAAGCCGTAATACCGTGTGGCGTTTATAATAACATGGAAGAGTTCGTCTCCATGATTAATTCGTCATGCAAAAAAGTCGGTTCCCATTTTCGTTTGGAGCAAGATTTACAGGCGGTAGTATTTTGTTCTCCCTCGTGTGTCCTGCTGGTTGCAATCTGATTCATTATATGCATTTTCCGATAGACTTCTGCAAATGCTCGGTTTAGCTGATTTTCTTTATAACGCTCCTAAGAAGAAAAGTCACTATTGTTCTATGCTCACGACATCTAAACTTAATTCCAAAGAAAAATCTACTTCAATATTTCTTAAACTCAGTTCTTTTGACGAAAATGGAATACGTCGCGAGGGATTCTATAGTTACAAAGCGTGTAGTTTGGCGCTGGGTATTCCCGATAAACTGTTCGTTTATTGTGATATTTGCGAGCCTTACATAACAGGCGATGTGCAAACTCCTCTTCTCCTAATAGTGCCTGTCACGGGGGGAGGGCGCGATTACAAATTTGGAACGAATCAAGTGAAACATTTCTCACCTCCGCATTATATTCCGGTGCGCCTAACGAATTTCCGACGGATTGAAATCGATATAAAAGACGATACTGGAAAAAAATACCATTTGAATCCGGCACGTTAACGGTGACTTTACATTTTAAACGTATCGATTAGATTTTTAAAAATACTCTGTAAAGATTTTTTCTTTATAAGAAAGAAGGGATTTGTCAATTAATATAGATTATTATTCGGAGTATTATAACGAATTACAAAACGGTGGAACTCACGGCGGTGGAATTCCACGAGTTTTTGTCGGTTTACCCTATCAACGAGGTCATGGAATAGGTAGTTTTCTCGGAGGAATGTTCGGACGTGTATTGCTTTATTTAACTAGAGGTTTAGGGGCAGTGGGTAAAGAAGCTTTGCGGGCCGTGGTTAATATAATCGCGGATGTTGAAAATAAAATGCCGTTAAAGGTAGTTGTCAAACATTATTTTGAACAATCGTGTAACAATCTTAAGAGAAAAGCTAGGGAAAAAATAAGTAGTCTAATGAAAGGTACGGGATATAAATCAGATGAAAAAAATTCATGTAGCGCAGTTTCCTTTCGGCGGGCTTAAGACTCACGTCGCTAAATCCTCGGAACCGCGTCGCGTAAACGGCATAAGACAAATAAAAAAAAAGTTTATCGAAAATCAAGTCGCGTGGGAAAAAAAGAACAAATACAAAAAAAACTAAAAATAATACGAGGAAAAATTGTTCGACTGTAAAAAGACTCAAGTCGTCCGCGAAACGGCGTAAAGCTAATAGCGGTAAAAAGCGCACAGTATACGATATATTTTCATAATTGCCATTATTCTAAATACGTTTGTCCGTGACAATAACGTTGGTAGAGCGGGCGGCGATAGAAAAGAATGTCATTTCTTCACACACACTCGAGCGAGTGTTTAAAGAGCGAGCTCGAGCTCTTCTCTTTACCGCCCACACAAACTAGCATCGAAAGTTCACAATGGATTCATTACAAACCCGTGACCTCGCTTTCGGACGACTCCCCGCTAGAATTTGTTATCCCGGTCACGGAGAAGAATATTTAGATCTCACATACACGTTACTAAGTCTTCGGGTACGCGTAGAAACCTCCGTCTCCGCAGCCGCCGTCAACGTGGGCCCCGTAAATCATTTTCTTCATTCCATTTTCAATCAAATTGACGTGTATTTCAATTAAAAGCTCGTGTCGCCTCCAAACAACGCTTATGCGTACCGCGCGTACATCGAAGAATTGTTAAATTATTCATCATTCGCAAAAACTTTTCATCTTACCTCATGCTTATGGGACGCGGATACACCCGGCCACATGGACGATACGGTAGGAGCGGAAAGCAATACCGCTATAGCAAGACGAGCTCGTTACATACACGGAGGGCGCGCGCTAGATTTTATAGGTCACCTCCATTGCGACGTTTTCAATCAGGATAAATTCTTAATTAATGGCGTCGAGGTGCGGTTGAGACTCGTGCGTTTGAAAGATACGTTTTGTTTCATAGAAACTAATTGCACGTCGAAAATTCGTATGCTCGATGCAAGCTTAATGGTGAGAAGAACGAAAATAAGCTCCGGAGTATTACTAGCGCATGCTAGAATGCTGAGCAAAGTTACTGCCAAGTATCCGCTTACGAGAGTTGAAATTAAAACATTCACGATTTACAGCGGGGTTGTGGGTGAATCGTTAGATAATGTAATACTGGGACAATTACCGAAACAAATAAAGTAGGTTTCGTCGATAATAAAGCGTTTAACGGTAACAGAAAATTGAATCCGTTTAATTTCCAAAATTACGGAATAAATTTTTTCTCACTTTACGTCGACGGTACACAAATACCCAGTAGACCGTTACAACCGGTTTTCTCGTCTCGCGAACCGCTTTACATCGAAGTTTATCATACGCTCTTTTCGGGGACGGGTATCCATTTTTTGAACGAGGGAAATTCCGTAAATGGAGATGATTATTCTCGGGGATATACGTTATTTACTTTTGATCTTACACCCGATCTATCCGCTAATTGCGCCGGTCATTGGAATCTCGTGAGACACGGAAGTCTACGGTTAGAAGTGAGATTCGAGAAGGCACTTACCGAAACAATTAATTGTATTGTTTACGCCGAATTCGATAATGTCAGAAATCGACGCATCGCGTCAAGTTATCGTCGATTTTTCCGGTTAGCTTTTATCGCTCGTTCACCAACATGTATTTATACACCGTAATGTAATACGCGATTAGAAAATTTTCCCTCTCCTCTTCTTTGGAAATTTCAATGACGCTTTTCACGAAGTGGAAACTATGTAACGTGCTAAAATGAATTCAGTTTTGTACGAGACACGAACAAACGCGCACGTTTCGCTAAGAGCTTCTACCTCACCAACAAAAATCTCACAATATGGACATAGTCGTCGACATACAAGGTTTCCGCGATGAAGCCAATAAATTTATCGCGAAGGAAGTCGCCGTTGTCGCAATCGATGCTCCGATTGTCGAGCATTGGATTATGATGCCACCATACGCGTTTGGAAAATTACCCGCAAAAGCAAGACAAGAAAACAATTGGCTCTCACGAAATTATCACGGTATCGAGTGGTCCGACGGCTCAGTTAATCCAAAATATTTTCACCTTTCGGGGCCAGTCGCCATTTTTTTTCCCCCAACACTCGCAGTCGGAAAAACCAGACGCTGGTGGTGGGGGAAAAGACAAGCCACGCCCACGGCGCCAGAGGGGCCGGTGGTGGGGATTTGTTTTGACGGGCCATACCTGCCACTATACTACTCTGTTTCTTCATTACTGTCACTTTTACTTTCCATTTTTACTTTCACTAATGCTTGACAAGCATGAGTTGATTGTTGATATTTTATCTCCTAATATCATAAAAGAAGATGAAACAGTAATAATTGAAACCAAACAAGATTCAGTGTCAGCGTCTATCACGTCCATGTTTAATGTATAAAGTGCATGAAATCTGTTCCGTTACTAGAAGACACATGGTTCATGCATGAAATGCATGAAGAAACGGAACAAATTCTGCACTTCATGCTCTGCGTAGGGCATTCATGCCTTCCATGCGCGAAACGAAACGCACCCCCTATGATTAAACGTTTTGTGCACCTCGGCTTCTACAACGCGTTCCTTTGTGTATCGTCTAATATCACAGGGATGGTCGGTCTCTATATCGCGATTAGCAAGTGGTTTATGTGCATCAACTTCCACGACTCGATTATTGTCGCGGATTATGGTATAGTGAAGGCGGTTAATTTCGCGGTTGATGGCATCTTTGGACACATTCATGGCACCGTTCGGCGGTATCTGCAACATGTTAACCTGACATTCGTTTGAATCGAAAATACTGTTGTCATATGATGTTAATAAAAACTCTCTGCATTGCAATATGTTACTGAGAGTTCGGCTCACGCGTACTTTAATTTTATTTTTATTTTCGATATTGGCATTGGTTTCTTTTTCCGCAAACAGACTTTCGTCAAAAGTATCAAACGGGAACTCGCTCGTTCGGTTATCATGTGAGTAGATAATTCTGAGTCGCTCTCGCTCGAATAATGTGCTTTTAATTTTATTCGTACCTTTTCGAGGGTTTCTAAGGACAGTGGCAATGCCTTTATTGCCCGCTCGGCTAAATTGCTAAACAGCTACGATTTATTTGCTATCGATTGCTGGGGGGTTTCGTGTTTCTCTGACATTCACGCAAATAATAAAATTCGAACTTACAGTATTACTGCTCGCATCGTTACGCTCTATACGGGTCGGCTGCTGCTGCTGCTGCAACTCGATCACTTGTGAGCTGATAACAGCTGCTCCATGTTGGTGATAGATACGGCGAATTGTCGCTCGTGGTGATGCGCTGCCCGTGAGGTTGTCGTAGTTTAGCGTTGTGATCCTTGGATGTTGACGATCCTTTTGATCCTCAGCTACTTATCACTCGTTGCACTGCTTGTGTTGTCCGTTTTCTCTTTCTCTCGTTATTGCCGTGGCTTCTGCTTGCTTCCGTCAGCGTTATTGACTATTGACGTGCCCGTCTAACATCTTTTATAAATATTTTTGTGTTTTTACAAGACTTTTTTCTATAAGGAAACCTCGGCGATCTCTGGCATACTACCGTTGCCACCAATTTGTTGTACCTCGGGTAAAGCACTTAGGGATGTAGGCCGGATTAGAAAGAGGACTTCCGAATTGTCGGAGTTTTCTCAATAATTTGTAGTCTTGATAGATTTTAAGTTCACTTCTTTATTCAATATATTGATATATAAACTCTATCAAGACTCTGAGTATGATTATTTCTAGACCTCGTGTGACTCCGTTTTTCTTTTTTACTTGCTTAACGCGACTCTCAATTTATTCGCGATGCGACTCTGATGTTGATCTTTTTGAACCCATTCTTTGTTCACTCCCAAGTTTTTACGTAAACTCGGTTTTTCGTTATTTCGTTTAGAAGAAGTGCCTGGCGACAGGCACCTAGTTGGTGAATAGTTTTTACATACGCGGCTAGATTTTGAGCGCAAAGCTGCTCGAAAGACGAAGCTCTTAGCTCGCGTCTCCGTGGTTTCCGGCCCGCTGCTGTATCAGCGGTCTCCTCGCGGAAAGTATAGTAATTCTATATTTTATATCCGCTATATTTATAATTATAGCCTTTCGGGCTATAACAATTTAAAATAATAAAATGTAATAAAATCTATTTTAAAATAAATTTTTATTTTTATGACGCAATATTTTGATATTATAATTAATTTGTAAACTTTTCAATTGACATTTTATAAACAATTTTTTACATTAATTTAGAAATAACAGTTTTTTATATAACACTTTTGGATATTGAATACATTTGACGGTTTTTATTACTCTCTTTTAAAAAAGATAAGTTTTTATGAATATATAGCAAATAAATAGTAACAAATAAATAACACAACATATGTTATGCTCAATTTATATTTAACATATTTTGTTAACATATATATGTAATGAAATACATATGACTGCATGTATACATATGTAAGTTGTTGGAAAAATTAAAAATAACTAATTAATAATTTACTTATACAACTAAGTAATTTAATAATTAATTTATTAGTAGTAACTTAAATAACTAATTAATTCATATTAATTGTTTGATGTTAAGCTTAATTATTCTTTTTTTTACCTTTAGTAGTATAACTTTTTTTATAAAAATCATAAAATAAATAAAGAAATATTAATATATTTCCCATAAAAAAAACAGCTACAACTGAATGAAACTTCTCTTGCACTTGACAAACTGGATTAAAAATTTGCAGACCGTATATTATTATTGCAATAAATTGTACCTAATTGCGCAAACAGAAAAATAAAAATGATACACATGCGCATTATATTGCTTATCGAAACATCAAAATAATTAAAATATATGTGTTTTAAGTGTAAAAGTATAATAAAATTTAATTTATAAAATATATATTTATTCGAAAAAAATGACAGTCATCAATTTTTTTTTTCGAGAAATATCAACTTGAATTGCTGTATGTTTTATTACTATCATTTTATGTAAAGATAATTATGTAAGTATAATTATAATAATAATAGCTAATCACAAAAAAGAGAAACATGTATATGGAATATACATAATGCTTTTTACGATTCTGCACTGTCGAATGACATCTGATTATATTTTTCATCAAGTAAAAATCTTCATTGATTTATAGCTTAATGAGATCTGCAAAGAGCGTCATTGACAAAAGTTTGTTTGCTAATCTTACAAACAAGGATATTAATTTTCGTGAAGTGTATTTCTCACTTTGTATAGCTCAGGTGTATAAACTTCTAGCCAGTACATTATTACACATGCGTTTTATAATTACAAGCTCTTTGTCAAGATATTTCAGTTTTTTCCGTTTCTTATTATAAATGTATTTGTTTTTTTGCGGTGTTTTTATTAAACTGAGCAATTTGTCACCAGACATTCGGAAGATCTATTTTTTTCCAACATCTCTTTGATATTTCTCAATCGTAAATACATTGCAAATAGAGAAGAAATAAAATGATGATTTAATATTTGAGTTTGTCATTATATTTAAAGCTTATTGTGCTATATATAATATACAGGGTATCCGGTAATTGTCGCCTCAACTGTCGTGTGTAGGTAGAGTGAGTTAAACCGAATAGGAAAGTCCTTTATTGTTTTGTGATTTTTGCAATAATTATTGAGTTATTAAATAAAAAGGATCGGCCAATCCACGCGAATAGAAGCGCGCGACGAGAAGAAATGTTCAACTATAACACGATACACGGAGCGTCGCTCCTCTCTCCGCTTTGCCGCGCGCTGTGTATTGTGTTACAGTAGGACGTTTCTTCTCGTCGAGATATATATTATTTATTAGATATAAGAGTTTTAACAAGGCTCTGTAATATAAATATAAATTTAACGTATAAGACGGGCAACAAGAGCCAAATCGCGGATGACAATGCGTTATCCTAACGAAACTAAATAATTTTTCGTTAGAAATAATCTCTTGTTGCCCGTCTTATACGTTAAATTTATATTTATATTACAGAGCCTTGTTAAAACTCTTATATTTGATACACGCTGGCTTAAAAAATGCGTTTGTTTACCAACATTAATATATATAACAGAGAAAAGTATGGAATCGAAAGGATCTGAATAGCTCAGCTGGAAGAGCAGTCGCCCGGCAAGCGAAAGGTCTCGGGTTCGATTCCCGATTCAGCGATTTTCGGATCTATATTTTTCTCTTGCATTCATTTATTTATTTTCCGTAGGGGGGTTAAAGGGGTATTGAAATTAAATCTCAAAATATGAGATTATTTCATATTTAAAATCTTGGCCGTGTCCAAGTTAAAATTTGGTGCCTTGTGCACCGGTATTTATTTCTAACGAAAAATTATTTAGTTTCGTTAGGATAACGCATTGTCATCCGCGATTTGGCTCTTGTTGCCCGTCTTATACGTAAATTTATTATTTATTAGATTTTAAAAAGGCTAACTTTGCTAATAAAAAAAATATACTTAAAATTTACATGATTCACTTGTTCGTTTTTCTGTATTGTAATTCTTTAAAATTTTTCATGGTAAAGACAGTGTATTAATTTGAAATAATCCATTTTACAAAATATCATTTTTTTAGACGCACCAGAATTTCAACCATACTCATTAATTTTATTCACATACAACCGTATAACCTTTGAAAATCTGTCATTACAAACGCGCCACAATAGTAAAACAGGTTAGCCATAAATAATAGAAGTTTTCAGTTCAGCAATGTATATCTTTGTAATGTATGTATTTTATTAATATTTATTTCTTCTGTGTGCTTTCTTTTAACTGAAATACAACTGAGGCAGTTTCATAATTACTTTTTAATTTTTGGTTGTAGGTTAGATATTTAATAATTAGGAATATAAAAATTGGCGTTATTGAGTTTAGATTGTTCGTATATTTTATCTTATTCGGTTTTTTAATATGATAACTCAAATTAATAATATATTCAACTAACAACCTTCTAATGTTAAAATATGTAGTTTCTTTATACGTGCGTATTTTATTTTTTTTTTTTAACTTTTGAAGAAGACCATAACCCTTATGGTTGAAACGTGGTCAAAACGTAAAAATATAAACACCTATCAGTACTTGCCAGTGGGTCGATTTTACTCAAAACTTTTTATTCAATAATTAGCTTTATCAAATCTTTAAGGGGATCCTAAATGATGTTTTTACCGACCGAATGCGAGAATATTTATTTTTTTCATATAACTTTTTATTGACTATACTGATCAATAAATCCTTTTCCACGATTAAAGTACTTATAAAAACGGACCGCGCTAGCTATGTTTGCATATATAAATCATATAAAAATCAAAAATTACAGTTTTGTTATCGGCTGCTTTGTGTCAGTTCGTAATAATACTTATTTAATAAAAAAAGTTTTGCAGTTTGTCTGTGCATGAAATATAGTATGCGCGGTAAGGATTATATGAAGAAATATTAGTAAGCAATTAAAAGTGAGATTGCAAGTCTAATAAAAAAGTTATATATAAAAAAACATTTCACGCATATGTGTGTGTGCAAATCGAGGCTGCGGAATAAAACAGAGCAGTAGATTAGTTGCGTGATATCGTGATAGATGGAGCTGCAACGTGTTTCTCTCTCTCTCTCTCTCTCTCTCTGTTTTTTATAAGGTCTGTTCGTTTTGGCTACACTGGCCACATTAGTTCAGAGGTTGTCTTTTTTGTTCGACATTGGAAGGAAAAAGATAACCTCTGAATTAGTGTAGCCAATGTATGCCATTATATATTTTATGTTTGATAATTTAAATAATACATCAATTTTTTTCTATAAAA